GTAGGAATGTGAACGAGGACATTGGGGACTCATGGGAGAAGCCATCGAACTGCAACCTCGATTTCCACACAATCTGTCAAAACAGCAGAACAGAAAAGGGAATAACAATTAATGTCAGGTTCAACCGGTGAAGTGAACACACACAAACGTGGAATTGAAAGGATAGCATCAGTTATTGCAAAATACCTGATTGAAAGCTCCCTCGTCGAACCGAGGCAGAGCATTCTCTCCTGAGACCCTTGTGCCCGCCACATGTGCTGCATGTGCGACTTGCCGGAGTAGCCCCTCCGGGCTGCACAAGGCATACCATGGCTGCTCCGCGTCCTTCATCTCAATACATGTGAAATTGAGCACAGCGCCATGTCTGGCGAACATCCGTGCCAGCGGAATGTAGCCGTCGCGGAAAATGGTGTTGTAGTAACCCGCTGTGAGCTCTGGTGGATGCGACTTGGTGCCGTAGTGCCAGTGGATACCTGCCACCTTGCCCGAGATGGACGTGTTGGTTCCACGGAAAATTGATGAAGCTGAGGAAAGCACTCGGTCGCCATGTTGAATTAGCATCTCAGAGTACCACTGGATGCGGGAAACGGGGAAATGTGAGACGGGAAAAAGGTCAGCTTTCAGACATTCAGCTTTCGGAAGCATCACAGCAAGCAATGGAGAAAATGTTGGTGGTGATGCGCACAGTAAGGGATCACTACTACTAACCTGCAAAAAGAAGTGACCGTATTGGGAGTTCCAATTGCCGAACTCGTGAAAAAAGCCTGTTTCTTGAGGCCACTGCTTGTAATAACCAGAGTCGTGCGGACCTCCAAGTCCCCAATTGGGCTTTCCGTTGGCTTCGGCCGCTGCTCTCAAGCTCGAAAGCATGTACTGCAAAAACACGACAGCAGCAGGACCATTGTTTAGCAAGCGAAAAAAAAAACAGCTTATTAACTGTTTAATGCTTCAGCTTGGAAACCGTTTAAATATGCAATGACGCAGTAGACAAAGAACATACGACTCGGGTTAGAGAAGGCTGCATACCTTGTCGTAGCACTGAAACTCGCCAATTCCAGGAAATTGCCACATTCCGTTACCCTCTGGATATGAGGGGTACCGAAGCTCGCCGGCAGGACCCATGCCAACTTGTATTTCCTGCAAGGGAGAAATAATACGAAGTCAGAATATTCGTACAAAAAAAATAGCAAATAACGACTTCATCGAGCCTTTGGTGAGAATGGACTATCACAATCGTCGACTTACTGTAATAACGGAACCGAGGTCTTCCGAGAACGCGTCCCTGAAGCTCCTCATGAAGTCGCTGTAAGCTTGAATCGGCGTCCGACCCTGAAGAACCGGAAGGTCGTCGCACCCCAGCGAAAGGTACTCTCTGTTTCTTCGTCCGGCCCGATCCGTGTAGACAATATCGTTGTTATTGTCTATCGCCTCGTGAATCCACGGAGGTAGAGGTATCCTGCGATAAAAGCGTCGGCCGTTCAGCAAGAGCAGAAAGACCAGTACGTTTAATGGCTTTGCAACCCGGAAAATGGCAGCCGCAAGTTGTTTACTATTGACGCCTACTAGTGTGAAGAGGAACTTGTCGAGAACCTAAGCCTTACATGCAATGGTCTCCCACGTTGCCTCCACACTGGTGAAAAGACATCACCGCCTGGACCTTCAGACCAGCTTCCTTGACGAGCGAAACTAGCTCTTTGTATGCCGACCAGTCATATCTCCCGGGCCCTTCTCTTTCTACTATTCCCCACCAAACATCCATCATGACCCCTTCCACGCCGGCGCTTTTCAAAGCTGTCAAGCTAGCTCTAAATGCTCTCGGTCGGCTTATCGTGTTGCTCATGGTTATAGAGTCCAACGGGAGCATGATAAAGACAGGAACTCCTGCACTCCTTCCTCCGCTGTCCCGCGAACTAGGAACGCTGTGCTCCGTCCACGAGGCGGTATCCAGTTGCGCGCTAGATCCTAGTCTTTCTAACCTCTCCGTCGAGCTTTTATCCTCTTGAAGTTCGTCGCTCGTAAACAGAATCCATGACTCATCGTTCTGAAGAATGTTACCACCCCACCGTTGTTGAGCGACTGGAGTACTTCTCCTTGTTAGCTCATCAGCCGAAGCGTACGGAAAAGCGCTACTTAGCCGCTCGCTCGCTAGGGATGCTTGAACTGTCGTTTGAAGCCTCTGGCAAGGTTCTGGAAGCCGCTGCGCCTGCTGCTTCTTTGGCCGAAACTTCCCTGTGCTCTCACATTTCGTTTTGCTCCTAAGTGACGGCGCCGCTGTAGAAAGCTTAGCTGTACATGCACTGCCTAGGGTCCTAGGGATGTGGGAGACACCTAAAGCCATTCCCGAACAACGTTCTTAGCGACCAGTAAGAATAAGATGTCAGAACCTAATTACTTAGACAGTTTGGAGGGAAAGGACTGGAGAGAAGCCATAGATCTGGGCTGAGCAGGGGAGGGGGTGACTGCTGCTGATGCTGCTGATGCTGCCGCTGCTGCTGAGCAGAGAATGGAACCCTGAAGGAGAAAAGATGGGAGGGTTTGAAAACCTAGGTGGGCCTGCGCCAGCCAAACCACAATGGTTCATACCCAAGCCGTGCGTGTTACCTGTCGAGCCTGACGCCTCCTTAGCCGAACCTAATCGGTCTCGCCGCAAGTGGCCTCACAGCCACCAAAGCACGGATGTGGTTGCCGAGCCTCCAGGTGTGGGACGATTAGAGGGAGTCAGGTTGCCTTGCCAGGCGCGTTATCCACACCATGCCCTCCATCCAAGGTCCAGGCTCCGTTGCAGAACTGCGCGCCTAAACTCCCGACAAACTCCGCCTTGCATGGTTTTGGGGGAGCAGTCATGCAACACGTGTTCCATGTCATCTCAGCGACAACAGTAATCAATTTGATGATAGCACAGTAACATTCGTGAACGTTGATGGATAATCCAGCAGAAAATTGTTTGCTCGAATGGCAGACCTGCGACCAGTGACGTGGAAAGAAGTCACCACTGCCCCACACAGAGGTCCAAGAAGTGCAACGGAACTGCCTTCGAGAACCTTGGTAATTGGTGGTGGAGGTAAAATGTAATTCGGAACAGTTATCAGTATTGCTAAAAAAATCCCAAGTGCAACCAACAGGGATAACCAGGCTGCTAAACAATTCATCCTTCCAACATCAATACCAATCGGCTTCCGTGCACCAATGTCCATAACCATCCAATTGACTGTTTGGCATGAACCTCCCATTTCTCGAAATGTTTTCCTCGTCATGCCAGCTCATAGCCTTATCTCCTCGGTTACACGCACACCTGGTGGCTCAGCGACACCACTTTTCCTGGGACGACGGGCATACACACGCGTATTCCCAGGAGAATGACGTAATTCAGACGTGGCACTGACCCAATGGGGAACACATACCTGTGGCAAGCCTTGAAGCTGGAAGATTTGCTGGCTGAAAGAGTAGGGTTTCCCAAGGTTTGAGCGATGTGGATGTGGTTTGAGGTGGGAGTGAGATGGAAGGAAACGGTTGGTTGTAGTGCTACAGTTGCACGGCCCCCTTCCATCCAAGTTTGCCTTGTCTTTTACTGTGAGAACATACGGCACATGACCACCTCCTATTGCGATGCGGCTTACTAGAATTTTGAGGCTTGTGAGTGATCAGACACGTCTGTCCACGTGCAGAATCCACATTCTATTCGAGAGCCACGGTGGTTGACGTCAGTGGGCAATGTGATCGACTGGGGCTGGCCCGAACGACTGCGTGGCACTGCAATGGAGAGACACGCTGTGATCGCTGCGTCAGCAAATGCTGAACTGCCATCGCCCTTCACTGAAGCTTGGTCCCACCGAAGGAACTTCGAACGGGGAGCACAAGTGTCATCCCGAACGGGGCACGGGGTCAGAGTTCAGGGTTTAGATGAGTACATCGGCACACAACAATGAAGTACACTGCAGTTCATGGATAAGTGAAGCGTAAAAATTCTTTTGGCTTGTCCAGCTTAAGTGAAGCTTAATAGCTGTGCTCCACTTGTGGCTGACCAGCACCTGTTTACATTGTTTCAGGTACGGATTTAATAGTATTGCTGGTACCAGCCACAGGATTTTATGCGTGTAAAACAGTCCGGAACCAAATCAACACAGCAACGTCTATCAGTTGAACTTCCAGCCCATGGGTAATGACACCTTTTGAACGTACCGTAAGTTGTTCATGGTCTGTTTACACCTGCAGAGAGACCAATGGTGTAGATGTTCATTGCAACATAACTTACCAGCAGCACATATACAGGAGGCTGTCCAAAATAGTGACATGCAACACAACTTCATTTAGCCCCAACGCTTTGGGAAAGACATCCTCGATTAATATTACATCAAAAATAAGAGGGGAACAATCACTGAGACTTCCCAACAAATAAACCAATCTAGGCAACAAAAGCGTTTGCTGCTGTACGCTTTGGCCTGTGCACTTCTACATCCTCCAGTCTGCATATCAACTCCTCTGAAAGCTCCATGCCAGAACCCCCTGAATCAACCTTCCCTGGGGGGGTGTGCTGAGACGCTTTTGTAGCTGCGGCAGATCCACACGAAATAAGCACAGGCGGCTTACTGCTGACCAGTGCATCCTGCTTCTCTTGTCCGCCAGCCTTCCCCACAAACTCAGAGCCAAGAGACTGATGCTTTACCTCACGCTCTCCGTCCGCCTGGTGATTCGATTTTACCTCAGAACGCCTAGCGTCATGCAGGTTTGGCTCGCCCTGCTGATCAACCTTCGCATCAGACTGGCACTGGTGTGACGACAGTACGGCACTAGTGGGACTCGGGGTCTCGGTCCTTTGCTTCTTCGCCGGAGGGGCGTTGATCGATGGAGTGGCTGGAAGAGAAAGGCAAGACGTTGGTGTTTGGCTATCGCCCTCCTTCCTCTTGTACAAGGACATGATCTGCAGCTCGACGTCTGCGCAATCATACGTTAGCACAATGGGTGTCTGGAAGCGAGGCTTCATATCAGGTGACATGATTCAGCTACTGACCTTGAAGTGTCTCTGGAGAGACGCCGTACTTGGTCCACCATGGTGCTCCTTCAGCAGCTTTCGGAAGCTGGACACTCAAGGCAGTCGCTGAAAGATTGACGCAAGCTGCCGCAATGTCCATCGGCCGAAACGGCTGAAGGCAGAGCGTGGTCCGCAAACTGAATGCCATCAGACAGCGTGGGACGTGGAAAACGAACCACGAGGGAGGTACAGATACGGATTGGTCTTGTGCTACTCAGGTCGAAATTACACTGAGCACGCACAAGGATCCTAAAGAATCCAGCCCCAAAGGACAAGGAGCAGACCTGTCATTGGCGAAGTTCCACGCGATCTGAAAGAAAGTGCGGTCCCTTTCAGACTGGCGGTTAGTGAAACCAAACTCCTTCACCACGGAGCAAATCGGCTTGTACGGATGACTGACGAAAAAATCAAAATTCATGGTAACAAGAAGAGCTTCTTCTGCCTTGACTACCCTGTCCATCTCCGCCAATAAGAGTTTCTGAAACACACACACGTGAACACATCATGCAACACCGCCTCGGAAACCACAAAACAAATAACAAAAACATTCAATCAGACTTACGGGAGTGCTCTTAATCGACTCCAAGGCCTTCGGATCCTTCTTGTTGCGAACATAGAATGACATCTCCGTTATCTTCTGCAAACTTTTGAAGTTCTCTTCGACTTTCCCAGCGAGAAGCAGGCATGCGGATGCGATAAGCTGGATAAGAACGTGAAACCAGTTGTGAAAAAAAAGCCTCGCTGACAATCTTTCCAAAAACTGGATCTGCAAATAGAAAACTGTACGTACATATGGGTCGTTCTTGGACAAGGATTGAATAATGAAGAACCGTTGCCAGTAGACGAAGGCTGTAGCAATTGTGTACTGGTCCCTGCATATTAGGATGAGGTTGGTACGTTTAAGCACCTAACAAGATGCAGATACGAAAGCTCGCGAGTAACCTATGCCGGTCCTTACATCTTAAGCAGACAGCCAACATCTTGTGTGAAGGCGAGGGCCAAGCGACGATGCGAATTTTCCCGTCTCAACGACAGTCCGTCCTTTCTAGATGGAGACTGATCTTCTATATGCTTCCTAGAGAATTGCCAACTATCACAGTTTGGAGATGTTTGCATTATGCGGCTGGAGCTGCTAATCGAATGGCGGAAGAGAGCCGCCAAGCTGCTCGCTACAAGTGACAAACCCTAGAGACCTGACTTGGATCTAGCAGTCTAGACCGTAGAAACTAGTCTGAAGGTGAGGGGGGGAATGTCGCTCTGGAGCAACAGCAGCAGCGTCAACCAAAAAGAACAATCTGAAACCCTAGACTTCTTGTTTCAAGATCTCCCCGCCCACCCACAAACACGGAAAGGCAACCAAGGGACCTGCACCGAGGGCTTCCGTGGAAAACGGACTTCAACTGGGCAAGCTGACGGCGGAGGTGAACGAAGATCTCTACCGTTGTTTTTTCTCTCCCGCCGAATCTTCGACGTGGAGAGCAGGTAGACACGCCACCAATAATCGTGCTCGATTCAACTGTCAACTCGCTAGACAACTTAAGGTTCAATTGTTCGGTATAAGAGAACGTACAGTTGCTGATAACTGTCTGGTACAAATGCCTGAGGCAACCACAACAGAACATGTAGAATCCAACTCTACCACAACATAAGATGTCCATCAAAACTTACTAAATATCATCAGACAACAATGTGGAAAGGCAAGTTTAGGCACATCTTTGAGTAAAGTAAGCCCGCACAACCACCTGTACATATCACAGGCATAAGTGCTACGTACTGTGCCGTTTCATTCTTCGTAATGTGCTATGTCTGCACTTCTGGGCTTCTGGCACTGAAGTTTTTCTTGAGAATTGAGAGTTTTTAATGAGATTAAAATGAGAATCACATGGTTAACTAAGCAAGTGTACAACAGAGGTAAGCACTACATGGTAGTAAAGAGAGCTAAATCCTACTAACATCTTCACACAAGAGTCATATTCACCAGCTAAAAAGCAACTGAACTAGTGCACCAGCCTTCATGAAAGCAATCAAGCAGTTATCAAGCATCATCCATCTCGCGCTCTTCCTCGTCCAGTGGAGTATCATCAAGCGTCGCCTCCTGATACTGTTGATACTCTGAAACCAGGTCGTTCATGTTGCTCTCTGCTTCCGTGAACTCCATCTCATCCATTCCTTCTCCTGTGTACCAATGCAGGAAGGCCTTCCTCCTGAACATAGCTGTGAACTGCTCACCAACCCTCTTGAACATTTCCTGAATCGAAGTGGAGTTCCCAATGAACGTGGATGACATCTTGAGTCCTGTGGGAGCCACGTCGCACACACTCGACTTCACGTTGTTGGGGATCCACTCCACAAAGTAAGAGGAGGTCTTGTTCTGAATATTCAGCATCTGCTCGTCAACCTCCTTGGTGCTGACTTTTCCCCTGAAGACTGCTGAAGCAGTCAGGTAGCGACCATGGCGTGGATCGGCGTAGCACATCATGTTCTTCGCATCCCACATCTGCTGAGTTAGCTCTGGAACGGTCAATGACCTGTACTGCTGGGAACCCCGAGAAGTCAGAGGCGCGAATCCAACCATGAAGAAATGCAAACGAGGGAACGGAATCAAGTTCACGGCAAGCTTCCTGAGATCGGAGTTGAGCTGCCCAGGGAAGCGAAGACAGCACGTAACCCCACTCATGGTCGCAGATATAAGATGATTCAAATCTCCAACTGCAGCAAAAGCAAAACAAACAAAATGTTAATTTAAAAATGAAACACGCAAGCATTAACTAGAGAAAATCGCTTAAACGCCAACTTACAGCTCGGATTAGCCAGCTTCAGAGTTCGGAAGCAAATGTCATAAAGCGCCTCGTTGTCAAGAACCATGCACTCATCCGCATTCTCGACCAGTTGATGGACAGAAAGCGTCGCGTTGTATGGCTCTACAACGGTATCCGAAACCTTCGGCGACGGGAACACCGAGAAGGTCATCATCATCCTGTCAGGAAACTCTTCACGCATCTTGGAGATAAGAAGAGTTCCCATTCCCGAACCGGTTCCGCCGCCAAGAGAGTGACATACTTGGAAACCTGCAACCATGAAACGAAACATGATTAACAAATATTCCAGGGGAAAATAAACATTCAGCATGCTTGAAGCAGTCATACCTTGAAGGCAGTCACAGTTCTCGGCCTCCTTTCGAACAACATCGAGAACGGAGTCGATAAGCTCAGCACCTTCCGTGTAGTGGCCTTTAGCCCAATTATTTCCAGCACCGCTCTGACCAAAGACAAAGTTGTCCGGCCTGAAGATCTTCCCATAAGGACCAGCGCGAACGCTGTCCAAGACACCCGGTTCTAGGTCCATAAGAACAGAACGCGGAACATAACGGCCTTCGGACGCTTCATTGAAGTAAACATTGATCCGATCAAGTTGAAGGGCGGAATTCCCACGATAATCCCCGACTGGGTTGATTCCATGTTCTTCACAAATGACTTCCCAGAACTTCGCTCCGATCTGATTCCCGCACTGGCCTGCCTGAACGTGAAGAATTTCCCTCATGGTCGTAGTTGTCTGAGTAAACTGGATTCGATGCAGAACTGGATTCAAAACAGAAGCAGCTGTCTCGGCTGAACTGGCTTCAAAGAGAAGCAAAACTCAACAGAAAGGAGATGGCGTTCTCGAAACTGTTCCCGCTCTCTTTGTAGCCAAAAAGCCCGCTCCGTGCGACTTGTCAGTTCGCGCCCTCGAGATTGGTGCTTCCTGGTGACAGAGAGACGCAAATATCTAGGCACTGTACACTTAAAACAACCGACCAAAGCGCCAAAATATTTTGAGAATTCAGCAGCTTACGTTTCAAAACTACAATGTTTCAATCACCTTTCCCGAAATGCAACTTTTCTTCTACACTTAGTACCACATCCACCAGATATTTTTTTTCCTAACTTCATAATTCGAGGCATTGTTGCACTTTCACCAATAAAATAATATGCTTTCATTCACAACATTTCTGTACGCTGCTAATTGCAAACACGAACAATACCATCCTCGCCTCCGGCAAGGAAGAGGCGAGAGTAGGGAAGCACATCCAACGAAAATATGGGGGTTGACCTGGACGATTGAATGTTGTCGATCACTTGTTGTGCATGGAATTGTAGATTGACATCCTGGTGGAGAAATCCAACAAAGAGGAGCGGCGGGATAAATGTCAGGAGAATGGATCCAAATTACCTCAATGGAAGTAAAACGAAAGAATGATACAGCGACACAGGCATTGTCACAAGCAGGAAACCGCGGGTAACAATTAAGACCTCAAAGCTTACCGAATGGGGAGGAGGCCAGCGAACTACAAGCTCATGGCTCGAGAACTTGACACGTGTGCGAGCATTTGCAATTTGGGACAATCCCGAGACATTCGTCACGCCAATATGACTCCCCGCTGCTGTCATCACAACCCGGCCCAGGGTCATGCTGGGAGGCATTAGATCCGCTCCCACGCCGCTCAGCCCTCCGCCTGCTCCAGATGTACCTCCCCCAGATGAGGGCGTGAGCATGGTGGGTGTGAGCGCAACCATTGCTGTGATGCCTTGTGTGTGAGCCACCACTCTCTCCACTGCTGCCACGTCAGCAGCTCTGGATTGGCCGACGAGGGTAAGGGAGGGGGTGGGGCGAAGGGAAGGGGGTTGGGCGGATGAGTAAGGCATATATAGGGCATATGATTGCCCTGTAGGTAAGTGCACACCTTTGAAAATATTACAGCGTCATGGTCGAGTCAGGACAAGGATGGAAGTTGATGACAAGGTGAGTGAGTACCACAGGGCTACGGTCGAGTTTGTTGACGAGGACAGCAGCTTATCAGAATGGATGTCGAGGAGGCTAATATTGGGTATATGAACGCCTTGTGAAAGAGTGCATACCTTCTGATATCCCACAGGGCTATGGTCGAGTCTGTGGACGAGGACAGAAGCTGATACTCGCCACATGGCACGAGCTGGTTGGTTGAGAAGTGAGTGAGACAAGCGACAGGAAGTAAAAAAGCAGAGGCAAAATGCGTGAGAAAAGGACGATTGTTACTGGGAAGTTCCAGACATTTCTGACCACCAAAAACAAGCAGGCACACTACAAGTTCTAGGCGCCTAGAAACCAGATCTAAAGCCGTAGCACTCACCCCTGTAACCCTCCCCGAGTGTGCCTTCACCCGTGCCACCACCATCCCCGTCGTCCAATCAAGGAACGCTAGGTGTCCCGAGTGGAAACCCACAGAAACACACTTGGTGGAAACAGGGGAGCGAGTGTGGGCAGAGGAGGAAGAGGAGGAAGAGGAGGAGGGCGAGGAGGAGGAGGAGGAGCGGCGGGAGGAGGAGGTGGTCGTGGCAGCAGAGGCGAGGGCAGTGACTGGTGTGCAGAATGGCTCTGATAGACCGCACTGCCAGAGGGAGAGCAGACGCCCCGCACACATGTCCACAAGGCTGGGGGTTGGGAAGAAGGTAGGCTCAAAAGTGAATGAGAAGGGGAGTGGGGAACAGGGAGGTGCAGAATGGCTCGGATAGACCACACTGCCAGAGGGAGAGGAGCCGACCCGCACACATGTCCACGAGGCTGGCAAGGATAGATGTGTAGGGGGGAGGAATAGGGGGCAGGGGAGGTGGTGGTGGCAGCAGAGGCGAGGGCAGTGACTGGCGTGCAGAATGGCTCTGATAGACCGCACTGCCAGAGGGAGAGCAGACGCCCCGCACGCATGTCTACAAGGCAGGGAAGGGGGGAATGAGGAGAAGGATGAGGGGAGGGATGGGGGCAGAGAGGGCAGGGAGAGGAGGGGAAGACGAGGGGAGAAGGGAAATATGGGTTGAGACCGCAGAGGTGAGGGAGGAGGGGAGCAGAAGCGGGGTTGGTGGTGGGAGGAGGAGGTGGTGGTGGCAGCAGAGGCGAGGGCAGTGACTGGTGTGCAGAATGGCTCGGATAGGCCGCACTGCCAGAGGGAGAGCAAGCGACCCGCACACATGTCCACTAGGCTGGAAGGGGGTGGGAATGGGGAGAGGGGGAGCGGTAATGGGGTTGATGGTGGTGGTGGCAGCAGAGGCGAGGGCAGTGACTGGCGTGCAGAACGGCTCTGATGGGCCGCACTGCCAGAGGCGATCCAACCACCGATCCCCTACAGGATCGGTGTTGCAATTGTGACGTGTCCTTAAAGGACGAGCTGGATAAGTTGCACACGTGCAGCACACACATATCGGATAAGTTGCACACGTGCAGCACACACATATCAGATAAGTTGCACACGTGCAGCAGCACACACATATCAGATAAGTTGCAGCAAAGAGCACAGCAAACCCACCGGATGCAGCCTGTAGACGTGCCGGCCACGAGCCTGTTCCCCCCTGCTGGCCCCAGGAACAGCAGCGACGTGTATCTACACACAGTCATGGGACTGCTAACGCTGCGCCCCCTCCCATGCCTCGGCGTCCCAACCGAGCCTCCCGCCGAGCCGTCTCCTGAGCCTAGGCCGGCGAGGTCCGGGAGGGCGGACGAGGAGAGGGAGTGTGGGGACGGGTGGGATCGAGGAGTGGTGGAGAGAGAGGAGAGGGAGGAGAAGGGATGGTAGGAGAAGAGAGAGGAGGACATGCGAGGGGAGGCTGGGATCCCACTTGCCACTCCGCCTGTAGCGGCGGCGAAAGAGGAGAAGATTGAGGATGTAGCAGCGGGATCCAGAGAAGAGGTCTGGTCCGGAAGCTGGCCGATAGGCATGGCGAGGCGAGGGGAAGAGGAGAAGTACGCGAGGGGGTTTCCGGCCGCTCCTGCTGCGGCGGCAGCGGCGGCGGCAGCAGCAGAGAGTGTGGGGGTGGAGGAGGAGTGGTGTGAGTACAGCTGCTGCTGCTCCCGCTGCTGCTGCTGCTGCTGGAGGTGAGCTGCTAGAGAGGAAGGCGGCTCTTCAAAGAGAGATAAGAGCTCGCCAGAGGAAGAGTCCCATACGTGGATTACTTCGTCGCATGTTGCTACTAACGAGGTGCCTTGTAACGCACACACTGCAAGAGGAACCTCGGAATGGCCTGAGTATTCTAAAGTACAGTCCCCTGACCCCACATCCCACACCCGAACCCTCTCCCCTCCTCCTCCCCCTCCTTCTCCACCTCCCCCGCCTCCTGCCCCTCCCCGGCTTCTCCCACCCCGTCCTCCTCCCCCTCCTGCTCTTCCCTCTCTCCCCCCTCCCCCTCCTCCACTCCCCTCTGACAATAACCCTCCCCTCCCTATAGTCACAAATGCCTCTTCATTCTCCAGAACTGCTATCCCCGTAATAGGCCCGTCGTGTGCCGCCCAGGATCTGAGTACAGACAAATTCAGATGCCACCCGGGCTGGGACTCCTCCCTGTCGCGAGCCATCCACGAGCTGCCACCTCCCCCAGAAACAGACGAAACAGCGCTCATACTGGCAAGGCTGACTGAACTTCCCCCTGCCCCTCCCCCTCCTCCCCCCAGCCTCCTCCCCACGTCCCACCCCTCCTCATTCGGAGGGGCATCCAAACGTTTTTCGGGCAGCCAGAACCACGGCTCGGGTGGTTCGGGCAGGGAGGAATTTTCCTCTGGGCTGCCCGGGTGAGTCTCGGGCAAAGAGTCGGCTGACGTGGAGAGCCAGGATTGGCTGCTGGTTGCAGCGGCGGTGGTGGCGAGACCACCAGCAGCAGAGGCGCCGGCAGGAGGAAGCATCCTGGAATCTTCCGCTGATGAGCTGGCGCTGACTGTGCGGGAGTGAGAGGGTGACTTGTTAAGTGTTGGCATGGGAAGGGACCAACCAAATCCGTCTAATAGCAGAGAAGAGGGGGTGAGAGCCGCTGCTACCATTCCAAGACGCTTAGATAAGTTCCCTGTTTTAGAGGCGAGTTTGGGGGATTCAGAAGAAGCAGCTGGAGCTGCTGTAGAAGCAGCAGCTTCAGCATCTATAGCAGTAGCATTGGTTGCGTCAGCAGCGGCTGTAGCGGCTGTTGCAGTTGTGGGGTATGAGGGAGGTTTCTTAGCGGATTCTGGATCAGTGGGAGGGGGAGGAGGAGGAGAATCGACAGGAGAGGTGACAGTGTGAATGGCAAATCGCTTTGCCGCTGCTGCTGCGGCTGCGGCTGCGGCTGCTGCAACAGCTTCTGAATCGGTGGGAGCGGCAGGAGGAGGAGAAGTGACTGGAGAGGTCACCGTGTGGATTGCAAATTGCTTCGCTGCTGCTGCTGCAGCCGCAGTTGCCGCTGCTGCCGCTGCTGCTGCTGTTGGTGATACCTCTGCTGCAGGTGAAGAAGCAGAAGAAGGCTCAGTGGCGGCAATTCCAGAGTCTGTTTCAGAATTATTCGAGTCAAGGCAGAGTCCTGACTCGTTGCCCTGATGGGGCAAGAGATGTGGGGGGAGGGGCAAGGGATTGGGGAGAGATTTCTGAGTTGACTCAACAAGAAGGCTCAGTGGTGTGGCAACCCCAGCGTTTGGCTTAGAATGAGAGGCGTCAAGGGAATGACCTTGACGGTAAACATACCTCGACCATAGAAAACATTATCGTACACACCCGACAGCAGCTCTCTCCTCCCCTCATCCCCTCCCACATCTAACAAGTGCCTCCTCCTCCCCCCTGCCCCCTGCTGCCCCTTCTCTTCACGTTGTCTACAAAAATAATCCCTGTACATAGTACATACATTTTTGAGTCGACTCAAAAGCCACCTCAAAACGATCTCTTTACATAGTACATACACCTCGAGGCGCCTCAATAGTACATACATACCTTGACTCGAAAAGACCAAGCAAGCCACTAGTCAAACCGCGTCCATAGCAAAGAGGTTGTACACGTCTGTAAGGATAACCGCCAGAAGCTCCCTCCCCACCTCGTCCCTTCCCACATCCAACAACCACCTCCTCCTGCTTTTCATTTCGGCAAGAAAGCAACAATCCCCATACATGCATAGTACATAGCTCGCCCATGCAGAACAGATCATACACGTCCGTGAGAATACCCCCCAGCAGCTTCCTCTGCACTGCAGTCTCACATGGACGTATGGGCATGGGTTCAACATACACACTCCCACATACAAGTATGGGCATGGGTTCAACATACACACTCCCACATACAAGTATGGGCATGGGTTCAACATACACACTCCCACATACAAGTATGGGCATGGGTTCAACATACACACTCCCACATACAAGTATGAGCATGGGTTCAACATACACACTCCCACATACAAGTATGGGCATGGGTTCAACATACACACTCCCACATACAAGTATGGGCATGGGTTCAACATACACACTCCCACATAACTCGTCCATGCAGAACAGATCATACACATCCGTGAGAATACCCGCCAAAAGCTCCCTCCTCTGCTCGTCCCCTCCCACATCTAACAACCGCCCTCTCTTCCCCGCTGCCCCCTGCTGCCCCTGCTGCCCCCTGCTATTCAAGCTGCCTAGAACACCAAACCCATGCACCGTACGTACCTCGTCCATAGCAAAGAGGTCGTACATGTCTGTAAGAACACCCGCCAGGAGCTCCCTCTGCACTGCAGTCTCACACATAAGTATGGGTATGCGCTCCACCAACACACAAGCATACCTCGTCCATAGCAAAGAGGTCGTACACGTCTGTAAGGATACCCGCCAGAAGCTCCCGCCTCTGCTCGTCCCCTCCCACGTCTAACAACCGCCTCCTCCTCCCCGCTGCCCCCTGCTGCCCCTGCTGCTGCTGCCGCTGCTCCTCACTCATCTTCAAGTGCGCTAGTGCTGCTTGTAGCCTGGGCACCAGGTGCCGTTTCGATGCTCTCTCTCCCAGTTTGGAAGCTGGAACAGGGAGCATGGGAAGGTCGAGAAGGGAAATGAGGTGACTTATGAGTCGACTCAAATGTCACCTCGTTTCAATGCTCTCTCTCCCAGCTTGGAAGCTGGAACAGGGGGCATGGGAAGGGCGAGAAGGAAAATGACTTCCTTCCTGCCTATGTGCTCTCTCTACATGCGCTCCTCACTCATCTTCAAGTGCGCTAGTGCTGCTTGTAGCCTGGGCACCAAGTGCCGTTTTGTAGCCCTCTCTCCCAACTTGGAAGCTGTGAAGGGAAGGGAGGAAGGGAAATGCAAGGGAGGAAAGCAGCGGTTCAGACAAAATGGCATGTGCTCCTCCTCTTGCTCCCATTCCCCCGCCCGCCTGCCGCTGCTCCTCACTCATCTTCAGTGCGCTAGCGCTGCTTGTAGCCTGGGCACCCAGTGTCGTTTTGAGGCCTGTTCTCCCAGCTTGGAAGCTGGAAAGAGAGGGGAGGAAGAAAAGAAGGGAAAGGACATGTTGAGATGGGAGGGAGGAAAGGAAAAAGCTGCGCTAGCGCTGCTTGTAGCCTGGGCACCAGGTGACGCTTTGTAGCTCTCTCTCCCAACTTGGAAGCTGGAAAGAGAGGGAAAGGGAAGGGGAAGACACGAGCACAACAAGGGAAGGGGAAGACACGAGCACAACAAGTAATAGCTTGTGTGTGTTGAAAAAATCATTCTCCTATGCTGCCTCTCCAAAGCAAGACGTACCGATATGAATGAAGAGATGGTGAATATGGGAGACGTGGTGCAGAGTACCCCTGGTGACGTGAGCTTTATAGTAACACCGAGGTAGCCTTTGAGTGGACACACAAAGCAACACATACCGATATCAATCAAGAGGTCTTGAATGTGGGAGGCGTGTTGTATGATCCGTGCTGCTGCAGTGGTGCATGCAGCAGTGGCCCCACTGAGAGAGAGCACCTCACGAGTGGACACACAAAGCAAGACATACCGATATCAATCAAGAGGTCTTGAATGTGGGAGGCGTGTTGTAAGGGTCCCCTGGTGATGTGAGCGATGAGAGGGGCAATTGTCTGGCTGATAGTGATGGGGAGAGGGAGCAGAGCCACCGATTCAATCAGAGCCGTCGATGCCGCATGGCACGGACTGGCGTGAAGCGCAGGGGGCGATCCTGACCGTACGATCGCGGATCCAGACCGAGGCAGTCCGAGCTTGGCCCGAGCCGCGGACACAGGTCCGGACCGAGGCTGTGCGGCGGATTGGGATCGGTCTAGGCGAGGAATGGGAGGAGTGGAGGAAGAGGAAGAGGAGGAGGCGGAGGAAGCAGAAGGGGTGGTGGTGGGGAGGGAGAAGAGAGACGAACGGAGCAAAGAAGGATGCAGCCGTTCTATATACTCCGGTAACCCTACAGCCATTGCAAGCTTATCCCACACCCCTTCACCGAACACAATCTCATTCAACCCCTTGGGTTCATTAGCTTCCACTGCTCGCACTGCCAGTGGCACCAGCAGAGCCACTATCGCCCTCCGGCCGAGACCCCTAGTGGGATGCAGCAAACCGTTCAGAACCACTGTGATATGGGATTGAACCGCAGGGTCGGAGAGGTCTAGAGCTGGCTGCTGTAACAGGGTTACCACCTCGCATGCACACATCCAGAGTGCAACTTCCTCCTCTCGAATCACCCTCCCGTCTCCCCCCCCCTGGTCTCTCAGTCCCTCCATTCTCTCCCGGCTGTTGCGGCCGCTGCTGCTGCTTCGGCCAATCGCGTGCGTCCGCAGCTTCGTTCCCAAGCCTCCCTGCTTGGCTCGGGACGCGGCGAACGCGAGCCGCTGGCTCGGGAACGGGAGGGAGTGCAGCGAGGAGAGGAACGAGTGGGCCGACCGGACGGCAGGACTGAAAAAGGACGAAGCGAGGACTGTAGCAGCGGTCGGGCGGCGAGCGGGGTTGCGGTCTACTAGGCCTCTGATCACCGGTTGCACGGAGCTTGGCAGGTTGTAGAAAGCGGGCGGCAGACTGCCGACCGTGGCGAAGACGTGTGCTGAGTCTGGGTCGAAAAGCGGGCGGCGGAGGAAAATCTCCGCAATCACGCAGCCGGCCACAAAAATATCTTCCGCCCAGCAGGAGCAGGAGGATGAGGAAGAGGACGAGGATGCGGACGTGCCTTGTTTGTCCGTTTCTTCCTCCTCCTGCCCCATATGATGTCGGTTTGCTGTAACTATGGAACCAGAAGCAGCAGCAGCAGCAGCAACAGCAGACCCCATCCCCCCTCTCCGGTAACCCCTGGGGGAGACAGGAGGCGGGGCAAGGATCTCGGGCGGCGGCCAATAGACGGGCGACAGGTGGCGCGTGGATTCTAGGAATCGAGAAAATTCCTCCACTTGCTGGAGTGTGCGTGACATTGAGAGGGGGGGACGGGATGAGGGGGAGGGGGAGGGAGAAGGAGAGGGGGAGGGGGAGGGGGAGCGAGGGGAGGTTAAGGGAAGAGGGGTGGGTGATGTGGGGAGTGGTGACGGTCTGGGGGAGGAGAAAGAGGGAGAAGGGAGGCTGGATGGAGTGGTAGCAGACGGGGAGGCAGCAGCAGCAGCAGCAGCAGCAGCAGCAGTAGCGGGGGAATCAGCAGGGTTTCGCTGGTCCAAAGCAGTGTTACTCCCACCTTCCCCTCCCTCCCCTCTTCCACCTCCTCCCAACCCCATTCCTCCTCTCACTCCTCCTATCTCTCTCCCTCCCCAAACTCCTCCCCTCCCTCCACTCAACCCCGCTGGTCTAGGTCCCCTCTGCGGGTGAGGATGCACGAACAGCTGGCACCTCCCATGTCCACGTGGCGCCTCCTCATTGGTCGGTGGCGGGACCACATTCTTGGCGGCCAATGCCGCGTCGCCAGCGAGACAGTAGCCAAAGGTGAGGTCGATCCAGTGGTGCAGCTCAGAAGAGACAAAATCACCCTCTAGTGCCGCCCGGTGGAGGGCGAGGAAGCGATGGACGCGATTGGATTTGATTCGCAGGATCAAATCGTCGCCGTCCATCATGATTGCAGGATCTGAAGATCCAGAAAGATCTCTTTCAAATTTGACTCCTCCTCCCTTTCCTCCTCTCTCCCCTCCTCCCTCCCCTCCCCCTTCCCCTCCTCCCTCCCCTCCTCCCTCCCCTCCTCTTTCCCCTCCTCTCTCTCCATCCACCTCCGCTCCCCCCACACTGCCCGCAAACTCATCCATCCAATCAGGAGGCGCCAGGTCGGGCAGCCCCTCATGGTACGACCGAAACAGGGCAGGATCGAAAAAAAACTCGGGCAGGGTCTCATCAGGAGTCCACCTATACATCCTCCCCATCGTACTAGGATACTCCTTAGGCTCAAAGACCGTCCTCACCACCCTCCTTAATATCCACAGAGGGAGTTTTCGAGCCGAGTACATGCAGACTGCCACGTCAGACACACACTCTTCTGCCACGTGGTGGGGGACTTCGGAGGACGAGTAGGTGAAATCGAGCTGCTCGTCGCCTTTTACCGCCCGCCACTTAGTTAAGCGCAGGTTCCGCCAACCCTTGAGGGGAGCTGTGGAGGAGGAGGAAGAGGAGGATAGAGTAGTACTGGTAGCGGTAGCACCAGCAGCAGCAGCAGCGGCGGCAGGACGCAGAGGAGGAAAGCTTTCGCTTGCTCTATCCGCAGATATCAGATCACCGACAGACAGGTCCCTAGGTAACAAGCCAGCAGCATCAACCCCGACAGACAGGTCCCTGGGTAACAAGCCAGCAGCATCAACCCCGACAGACAGGTCCCTGGGTAACAAGCCCGCAGCATCAACCCCCTCAGAAGAAGCCACAACAGCCACGGAGGCCTCGGAAGCAGGACCAGTACGATCAAAAGCAGAGACATTAAAAGCAGAGATTGAACGCCCGGTGAATGAACCCCCGGTGAATGAACCTGCGGTGGTATCAAACGGAGCCACCGTGAAATCAATCACCCACGGAATGACAGCGTGGAAATCCCTGTCTCCGCTCCGCCTCCCCGCTATTCTGTTGAGCTCCAGGAGATAATCCAGGTTGCTGATCTCCCATGCCATCCACCTGCCCAGGAGATCGCTGAAAGGAAGCTTCGCGGCAAGTGCGCGCTGCGGAGGAGGAAGCTTCCTTAGAATTTCCTCCTGCTCATCTTCTTTGTCCCCGCCTTTCGCCATGGCTCCCTCTCCTGTCGAAATCACCTCCGCGTCTTGCCCCTTTTGCTCTCCTTTCCTTTCTTCTCCTCCTTTTCCTCCTCCTCTCCCTTCGTCTCCTCTCACCTGCCTTCCAGCCCTATTCTTCCTACTACCATCACCAATCCCTCCTTTTCCCTCCCCTACTCCCCCTCCCCCCCCCCTCTAAACCACCCCCAAAATCCCCTCCCAGCATCAACCGCGGCCACAGATTCGCCGAGAACGCAATATTGGGCGGCACTGCCGCCCCGCAGGAGATCCCCAGCGCATGTGCTGCCGCCACCCCCTGCAAGAATCCAAACGCGACCAGCCGGGCGGCAAACTCGTCTCGTAGCGCCTCGGGGCTGTGCCGAAGCACGCCGGCCAGAGTGAAGGGAACGGAGGGGTAGAGGAAGAAGATTGTGGTCCCTGATTGGTCGGAAGGTTGGGCGGCGGTGGAGACGAGCGCCGCTACAGGACAAAAGATGTTGTCCAAAGTGAGTTGAGGGAGAGCGGAGGAGGATGAGGTGGATTCTGGAAGGGAGACTGGAAGGGAGGAGGAGGGTGATAAGAGGGGTAGAAAATCAGACTTTCCGTCCTGCTCCTGGTGCTCCTGGTGCTGCTGCTGCTGCTGCTGAAAGTTCTGCTGTTGCTCTTGCTGCTGCTCTTGCTGCTGCGTCTCCTGCTGCTGCTCCTCTTCAGGCACCCAGATTCGAAGGGAGGGGGTTTTGTGAGCCAGGTCACTGCCACCTTCTGCTGCTGCTGCTGCCCCTCCTGCTGCTGCTGCTGCTGCTGCTGCCCCTCCTGCCGCTCCTGCTGCTGCTGCTGCTGTGGCTGTGGCTGTGGCTGTGCGTGTGGAGGGAGTGGGAGCAAGAGGAGGCTTCGAAGACGGGCTCTTCTGTGGCTTCTCTCCCTTCTCTCCCTCACTCACTTGCTCTCCCTCACTCACTTTCTCTCCCTCACTCACTTTCTCTTCCTCACCCACCTTCTCTCCCTCACTCACTTTCTCTCCCTCACTCACTTTCTCTTCCTCACCCACCTTCTCTCCCTCACTCACTTTCTCTCCCTCACTCACTTTCTCTCCCTCACTGACCTCCCTCTTATTCTCTCCCTCTGTCCTCTCATTCTTCTCCATCTCACCACCTCCACCCACCTCTCCCCCCAACCTGACCTCCACTCCCTCCACTCCAATCTGTTCAGTCTCAGGTGATTTTTCAGATGAGCTTTCAGGTGAATTCCCAGGTAGTTGATCCGCGAGTTTGTCTCGTCTTGCTTCTGCACCCCTCACTCCTTCCACACCCCTCACTCCTTCCATCCCCTCTTCTCCTTCCCTCCCCTCTTCTCCCCTCTCCCCACTTGTGCCGAAGGAAAAGCTCCCCCCGTCAGAGTCACTGTGCTTAAACTGAGGCCCTTTTTCCGCCTCAACAGGCTCTACAGCCTTCAATATAGTCATACTTTCAATAGGCGTGCTGCCATTTGATACAGTCACATCACTGGTACCCGCTACAAGCCCTTCCCGGACAGATAGGGATGCCACGACAGCAGATAGTGACCTGGCAGAGGCATGTGTCCACGTCAGATTGGGTGCCAGCCTGGCAGCAACAGCCACGGCCCACTCCACGTCACAGCAAGCTCCGGACCTTCCGCTCTGGTTTGGAAACTGGTTCGGAGATTGGTCTGGCAACTTGCTAGGTACGGCAGTTCTGGCATTACTGCTCCCACTCACTCCGTTTCTTCCTCCTCCCTCGTTGCATCTCCCACCCTCGCTACAGGGGCTGCGGCAGCGGCAGTACTGCAGACGTGGCGCAGTCTTATTGGCTCTCACAGCAAAGCACCGATTGGCCGCTCCTGCAAGGCTCGTCCACTGCTGCTGCTGCCCCTGCTGCTGCTGCTGCTGCTGTTGCTTCCCCTGCTGCTGCTGCTGCTGTTGTTGCCCCTGCTGCTGCTGCTGCTGCTGCTGCTCCTGCTGCTGCCCCTGCTGTTTCTGGTTACCAGATGTCGCAGGTGGGAGGGCAGGTGGGAGGGCAGATGGGAGGGCAGGTGGGAGGGCAGGTGGGAGGGCTGCATGGTCGAATTGAACAGAAGGGTCCGAGCCTAGCGAGCAGACATACTCAGGGAGTGAGAGGAGAGGAAGTGAGTCAACATGGACGGGGGGAGACGAAGAATCCTCCCCTCTGTGTTCATCCGCCAGACCCCCGCCTCCTGCACTGTCCTTGGTGGTGTTGGCATTGGAGGAGGCAGGTTCGGAATCAGCAGGTTCAGAGGCGGCATGTTCGGAGGCGGTAGGTTTGGGGGCAGCAGGTTCGGAGGTGGTAGGTTCAGAGGCGGCAGGTTTGGCAGTGGCAGGGTCGGAAGACAGAGGTTGGGTGGAGGTTGGTAGGGAAGGGAGGGAGGAGGAGAGAGGGAGAGATCCTAGCGCTCCTCCTGCAGCTGAGAAGCTGTTTGGATGTGTGATATGATGTGATGTGATGTGATGTGATGTGATGTTTCACACAAAGCAGCGAGGAAACAGAAAGAAGCTATGAGGTTTAATGTTGCAGTGTTGCAGAAAAAGTTGGGAGAAAGGCGAGGGAAAGGTCAGAAGTGCGGTCAGTGTGGGTGGGACAAAGGAATGAAGGAGAAAGGATCGGAATAAGCAATGCACTGTGACATGAAAGAAAAGAAATCTTAACTCATAAACACTGCACTGCACTGCACCATGCCATACTCCATCCCTAAACACCACCCTGCACCATCGCATGCCCCCACTCCATACCCCACCCCATCCCCCACCCACCGCACTGCTCTGAGGCAAAACCCTCTCCCCACCGCACTCCACCATTACCTACCCCTGGGAGTGGCAGAAGCGACAGCTGGCCCCGTTCCGGCATGTGATTGGCTGCAGCAGGAACTGCTGACTGCGGCCGGGTCTGGTTGGATTGAAGACATTGCAAAGGGAAGGGAAAGGTATCAAATGGAGTTCAGTGGTAAGAGCTCAGGGGATCTTAGCGTTAGGGTTTAGGCATCTCAAAAAGGAAACCAGCAAAATCTGCCCACCTTTCAGTGGGAACATAGTAGTTTGTTTGTTAGAGGAGGCCGTGGGCTTCACCCTTTCAACAATTGTCAAAAGTGAGTTTTGAGGCGCCTCTTGAGGCGACTTTTGAGGCGGCTCAAAAGACTTTTCAGTGGGAACATAGTTGTTAGAGGAGGCCATGGGCTTCACTCTCTCAACACTTGTCAAAAGTGGGTTACAAGGAATCTGCTCACCTTTGAGCGGGAATAGTCTTTAGAGGAGGCCATGGGCTTCATTTTCGAGGCTTGTCAAAGGTGTTTTTAGGAGAGAGAATCTGCTCACTCATCTTTCAGTGGGAACGTAGTCCTTAGAGGAAGCCACACAATACCCATCTGGGAACTCTCAAAAGTGATCTTAAAGGAATCTGCTCACCTTTCAGTGGGGACATAGTCCTTAGAGGAGGCCACGGGCACTCCGCGCTCATCCACCTCCACCTGTTAGGGGGAGAGGCATGGGGGAGAGCGATGGGGGAGAGGCATGGGGGAGAGGGATGGGGGAGAGGGATGGGGGAGAGGGATGGGGGGGGGAAAGGAGAGAAAGGGAGAAGGATGGGGGGACGTAGTCCTTAGAGGAAGCCACGGGCACTCCGCGCTCATCCACCTCCACCTGTTAGGGGGAGAGGGGGAGAGGGAGGTGGTATTTTAGTCGACTCTATCTTAAGAGGAGGCCACAGGGACTCCGCGCTCATCCACCTCTACCTTTTTAGGGGAGAGGGATGGGGGAGAGAGGCGAGGGGGAGGGATGGGGGAGAGGGGAGGGGGTGAAGGATGGAGAGAAGGGAGGGATAGAGGGACGGGGGAATAGGAGAGGTTCAGTCAGACGTGAATTTACAGTTCAATCTAACGACATCCGTTGGCTACTCAGTAACCACCTCTCACCTCGTATACTATCAGCCCACTTTACGGTAAGGTTGGCCGGCTAGGATGCGTCTCATCACATTTCCTTTTTGATCACGGCCAAAAATCCGTCTCATTCTGAAAACTATTTTCAGTCCGTTGTGCGGCAACGGCATGGGGTTAAGAACCTATCAACATTGTTTGCTAATACGGACTTTAACCGGTCGTACCTCGCACACTATGAGTCCGCTGTGCGGTAAGGGCGGGCGACTAAGAACACAGCGCGTTTTTAACCAGCGTCTTAAATCGGTCTCACCTCGCACACTATTAGTCCGCTGTGCGGTAATGGCGGGCGACGCCACGAGTGCGGCTCGACGGCGAGCAAATGGGAGACGAACACGTCAGCAGAGAGTTGCTGGCGAATCAGCTCCGACGCCTCGACCAGCGATAGCGACTGCGATTGGCCCATGCTGACGTGGAACTGCAGATTTCCCTTCCGATTTCCCGCCTCAGGTGTTTTCGCACTAGGACCGAAGATCAAGCGGCATAATGGGAGAGTGGCTCTCGAGATTTCTTACGAATCCTTTGCAAGCGCTTCAATTCGCCGAATCTCCTGGCGAAATAACACAGAAAATGTGGCTCAATGAACCAAATTCGCGTATTTTCCGTCGCCTATGTGTGTAGCCTACGAAGGTCGAACTAGGCTTGTAAATTTGGTGACGAAAACGAACGAATTAGAAGGCGAAAACGAATGCGGAGGTCAAGCAAAACGGACCTTCCAACACAGCAGTAAGCGGAAGCGATGCCTAATGTCCGTGACGCCCTAAGAATTCAAAGTCGGCCTAGAAACCTCCTCCCACCACAAGATCCCAATCCATGATGCAACTCATGGCTCCTTGAAAAGCATTGATGGGTGGGGTGGGGGACGAGTGGCAGTCTGTTGTCACAGCGCCTGCTTGCCTCCCAACTGTTGCACTCGAGGCCAACAGAAACAAGGCCCAGATTCTACGTTGCGGCTGCGAACGCTTTCGCACGGCTTTAGCGAGATGGCCGGCGAGTGGTGGAGAACAGCGAATTCGGTTGGTGGAGTGGGCTGATGTGAGCTGAAATACGGTGGCGTAAGGTGCAGTGGGTTGAGGTGAGAGTAGTTTTGTGAAGAATTTGGGGCGATATCTCGATAGAGGCCCATACACTACGCATCAACATTCTCTCAATCTTCTTAGTAGTGCTCGGATCTACCAATACACCATGGGTTTTAAAGAGATACTGCAATTATACTATAGACAAGGAACTGCCAACGGAAGGGAGGGATGCCTACTGTGTTCCTTTGCCATGTAATATTATCTCTCAACGGTTGAAAATTTGTGGCTCTTGGATAGTTCTTGAGGTGGTCGCGCATGCCTTATAGATTTCCATATTAATATCCGTCATTATGAAATGTAGCGCTGATATATAATACGGTAATTGGTTTTGCGTCGCGCCTGTACGCTGTCGTGGAGCACCTTACATACGCTTGAAAATTCAAATGTCTGCTAGCAAAAAGAAAAGCAAATACGGACAAGGTGACGCGACGCGCTAGCACACACACTGGCGAATAGCACTCCCATGAGAGGAGCGCAGAACATCGAGTTGTCAAATCATAATGTTGTGTAGGCTGTAGTGGGGTAGCCTATATGGGGTACACGGTTCTAGGGTTGCATATTTGTACCACATTCCATTCCTTAGTGCACATCATTCTCGTTTCACTTTCCTCATGGTATCCAGCAGGTTCCCTCGTGGGAACTGTTCCTAGGGCCCACACATTCGACCTTTTTTTCCTGCCCGGAGTGTCAGAATGTTATCTTATGCTCTAGCCTGTAGTGGGGTGCTCTAGAGCGAGTACAACCCTTCTAGGGTTTCCTATTTGTATCCCCATTCTTGCTAGTGCAGCTCTCTTCTTTCTTCTAAACTTTCATATGCTATCAGAGCAGGTCGATCCCCTTGGATCGATCCTGTGGGTGGGCTCACCACCTCGTTGCTTCCGCTGCAACTGCTACTGCTACTCTCTGTGCCGCACGCCACGGGGCGTGCGGCAGTGTTTTCTTCCCGCCGTGCGCCCCGAGGCGCGCGGCGGTTTTCTGCCCGCCGTGCGCCCTCGAGGCGCGCGGCGGTTTTCTGCCCGCCGTGCGCCCCGAGGCGCGCGACGGGTTTCTGCCCCGTCACTTGGCGCGTCGCCCCCGGGAGGCGCTGCGACGGGCGACGGGGACCCGCGCGTCGCACCCCGTCGCCCTACCTACGGCCCCGGCCCCGTTGCCCTACCTGCGCCCCGGCCCCGTCGCCGTGCCTGCGACCCCGGCCCCGTCGCCCCACCTGCGACCCCAATCCCGTCGCCATACCTGCGGCCCCGGCCCTAGCCCCGTCGCCCTACCTGCGCCTCGGCCCCGGCCCCGGCCCCGTCGCCCTACCTGCGACCCCGGCCCCGTCGCCCTACCTACAGCCCGGCCCCGTCGCCCTACCTACGGCACGTGCACCCCCCCCCCCCCCCCCCCTTTTCCCGTCGCCCGTCGCGGCTCCTTCGGGGGCCGCGGCGACCTGGGGGGTGGCGGGTGTGTGGTCTCCCCTGCTCCTCCTCCTCCTCCGTCTCCCTGTGCTGCAGCTGTCGCTGAGGGGGGGTGGACGTGTTGGAGCCGGTGGAGTGGTACTATGGGGGGGGTGAAGGGGGAGTGGAGCTAGCGGGTAGCAGCGGGTGTGTGCCAAAGGGGAGTGGGATAGTTTGGGGAAGCTGAATGGAGGTTGCCGTCGTGTCGCAAGCAGCACCTGTATTCCGGGGAGTTGCTCCGGTAGCCCAGTCGTAGCCGGCTGTGCCAGCCGCCCGTGGGTCCGTTGCTCGTCTGCCGCTACTTTAGCCGCGGGGCCAGTTACTCCAGTATTCCGGAGCGTTGTTCTGGTAGCCGCTGTGCCAGTATACCTCCTGTTGCCCGTGTGTCTGTAGCTTCATCCGTCGCCTCCTATCTCCTCTCCTCTCACTCTCTCTCCTCCTCCTCACTTGCCTGTTGTGACTACCACTAGCTTTGCTCATAATTGTGAACTTTAAACTATTGCTTCTTGAACTTGTGCTCAGAATGTGTGGTGACATTGTGATCCACCCTGAGCTTGTACTGCTTTGCTTGCTCTGCTGATTACACCCCACTTTGGCTATGGGGGTGTGTCAGAATGTTATCTTATGCTCTAGCCTGTAGTGGGGTGCTCTATAGCGAGTACAACCCTTCTAGGGTTTCCTATTTGTATCCCCATTCTTGCTAGTGCAGCTCTCTTCTTTCTTCTAAACTTTCACACGGAGCGCGCTCAGCCCTAGCCCGAGTCGTGCTCCCCCTTTCTCACTGTGTCGCGCCGCCCTAGCGGCTGTGTCGCGCCTACCTGCGGCCCCGCCGCCTACCTTCGGCCTCGCCGCATACCTTCGGCCCCGCCGCATACTTTTGGCCTCACCGCCTACCTCTGGCCCCGCCGCATACCTGCGGCCCCGCCACCTATCAGTGGCCCCGCCACCCATCTCCGGCCCCGCCGCCTACCTTCGGCCTCGCCGTCTACCTACGGCCTCGCCGCCTACCTTCGGCCTCGCCGCATACCTGCGGCCCCGCCGCCTACTTTCGGCCTCACCGCCTACCTCTGGCCCCGCCGCATACCTGCGGCCCCGCCACCTATCAGCGGCCCCGCCACCCATCTCCGGCCCCGCCGCCTACCTTCGGCCTCGCCGTCTACCTGCGGCCCCGCCGCCTACCTTCGGCCTCGCCACCTACCTGCGGCCTCGCCGCCTACCTTCGGCCTCGCCGTCTACCTGCGGCCCCGCCGCCTACCTTCGGCCTCGCCGCATACCTGCGGCCCCGCCGCCTACTTTCGGCCTCACCGCCTACCTCTGGCCCCGCCGCATACCTGCGGCCCCGCCACCTATCAGCGGCCCCGCCACCCATCTCCGGCCCCGCCGCCTACCTTCGGCCTCACCGTCTACCTGCGGCCCCGCCGCCTACCTTCGGCCTCGCCACCTACCTGCGGCCTCGCCGCCTACCTTCGGCCTCGCCGTCTACCTGCGGCCCCGCCGCCTACCTTCGGCCTCGCCGCATACCTGCAGCCCCGCCACCTACTTTCGGCCTCACCGCCTACCTCTGGCCCCGCCGCATACCTGCGGCCCCGCCACCTATCAGCGGCCCCGCCACCCATCTCCGGCCCCGCCGCCTACCTTCGGCCTCGCCGTCTACCTGCGGCCCCGCCGCCTACCTTCGGCCTCGCCGCATACCTGCGGCCCCGCCGCCTACTTTCGGCCTCACCGCCTACCTCTGGCCCCGCCGCATACCTGCGGCCCCGCCACCTATCAGCGGCCCCGCCACCCATCTCCGGCCCCGCCGCCTACCTTCGGCCTCGCCGTCTACCTGCGGCCCCGCCGCCTACCTTCGGCCTCGCCGCCTACCTGCGGCCTCGCCGCCTACCTTCAGCCTCGCCGCCTACCTGCGGCCCCGCCGCCTACTTTCGGCCTCGCCGCCTACCTGTGGCCTCGCCGCCTACCTCTGGCCCCGCCGCATACCTGCGGCCCCGCCACCTATCAACGGCCCCGCCACCTACCTTAGCGGCCCCGCCACCTACCTTTGCGGCCCCGCCACCTACCTTTGTGGCCCCCCCGCCTCCTCCCAGTAGCCGAGTCGCCCAGCAGCCGAGCCGCCGAGCCGCCCAGCTGCCGAGCCGCCAAGTCCCCCTGCAGCCGAACCGCCCGAGCCGCCCTGTCTGGTAAGAGCGGCGCCTCTGTCACTGCACTGTCCTCACCCTACTGTTCGCGCTGCTAGTCTACTGCTGTCATGGCTACCCCTAGTGTCCTCGCTTTTGACGCTGAGGGTCGGGCCATTGACTTTGATGTCTTGATAGATGACCTGCAGCTTTTCTTACAGTGCGATAGGGCGGACGGTCTCTCTCTCTTTGACCTCACCTCTGGTGCCTCTCCTGCCCCTGCTGCTGATGCTGACGCCACTGTCCGCTCACAGTGGGCCACGCGCGATGCTGCTGCACGTCTTGCTGTGCGTCGCCACCTGCCTACCTCTGAGCGTGCGCACTTTAGCCAGTACAAGAGTGGTCAGACCTTGTACGACGCTGTAGTTGCACGCTACTCCTCCCCTGCCACTGCTGCACTGAGCCGCCTCATGCTACCGTACCTCTTCCCAGACCTTGCTGCCTTTCCCACAGTCGCTGACCTCATTACGCACCTCCGCACTAGTGACACTCGCTACCGCGCTGCGCTTCCTGCTGAGTTCAGCGCCAAGAACCCCCCCCCCATGTACATCACTCTCTACTACATAGTCAACCGCCTCCCTGACTCCCTTCGCGTAGTCAGGGACCACTTTCTCTCAGTCTGTCCCACCACTCTCACTGTTGACCTCCTCGAGAAGGCCCTCCTAGCAGCGGAGAAGAGCATAGTCGCTGTGGGGGCCTCTCGTGGTGACCCGCACA